TTTTTTTTTTTTTTGTCTTTTTGAGACAGGGTCTCGATATGCAGTTCAGGCTGGTCTCAAACTCACAACAATCCTCCTACCTCAGCCTCCCGAGTCCTGGGAGTACAGGCGTGCGCCACCACACCTGGCATAGCCTGTGCAGTTTTGACACCCTATTTCAAAATTAAAAATAAAAAAGGGCTGGGCATGGTGGCTTACACCTGCAATCCCAGCACTCTGGAGGCTGAGGCAGGAGGAGACTGTAATCCCAGCACTGGGGAGGCTGAGGCAGGAGGATCACTGCCTGGGCTACAAAGTGAGCTCAAGGCCAGCCTGAACTGCATAGCAAGACCCTGTTTCAAAAAGAGTAAATAAATAAATAAAATTTAGAATAAAAATAAAAAAGGGCTCTGGATATAGCTCATTCCAAAGGCCCTGGGTTCAACTCCAATGATATAGGGGAAAAAATGTGTAACTCCCAGCCCGCTAGGTGTCAGGTACGCCAAGTTTGTGCTCCCAGAAGTTGAAGAGTGGATTCTAAGGAGCAGTGGAGGTTAAGAATAGAAAAGTTTATTGGGGAATAGGAATAGCTCTTGAGAGACTGGAGCTGGCCAACGAGCCCACTTCTCTGCGAAAGTTTCATAAAGCAAAATCCCAGTCAACTATAATCAACCAGTAAGATTACAAGTGTAGCCTCTTGGCTAATATTGATCCAATAGTAGCAATGGCGTATGAGTGACGTCATGAACCTTGGTCCAGAACCTACAGTCTTAGTCTTATCTTTAATCTTAGTGTTAGGAGGCTGGGGATTTAGCTCAGCGGCACAGCGCCTGCCTGGCAAGTACAAGGTCGTGAGTTCCATTCCCGGTACGTGAAAAAAAAAAAAAAAATCTTACTGTTAGTAGTCTTAGTGGGTCAGAGAAGATGGCCCAGCCCTCAGGAGATAAAGGTCTGTTTATGTGGGAAATCTCAGAGGGACTGTGTCATAATCTCACGTTCCCATTTATCCCTTAGGGAAGGATGTAAATCTGGCCATTGTGACTTTAATCTTCTTCAGCTGCACCTCCAGCCACCGTTGTGATGAGTTCTCATCTTCTGCACTGACTCCCTTTTAGGCCCAGCCCTGGGCCGACTGCCTATATTTCTACCTAAGTTTGCTGTCTACAGTACCGGTACCAAAAACAAAGCAAAACAAAACAAAACAGTACTGTATCAGCTTTGAAAGCACTGGCAGAGAAGACAACATGCTTGATAATAAATAATAATAATAATAATAATAATATCAATGAATCAAATACAGCACTTACCAGGTGCCTGGCACCAACATAAGCATATTTCATTTATTTGTTCATGGTATCCACATAATTCATGTTATCCTTATTTTAATGGCCGGAAATGTGGCCCAGAGAGGTTAATGTATTTGCCTGAGGACACACAGCTCACAGGTCAGACCTGGACGGCAACAAGGTTGGAATGTTCGTATGACCAAGGGGAACCCAGAACTCTGATAGGTGAAACCCCTCGTGGTCGACCTGGGCTGGAATGTGCTTAGCACAAAGCAGAAGGCCCAGAGGGACACAGGGTCCAAGCATTTTGGGGACCACGTGTCCTCAGCATCTTACCCGGGCTTGGGCCGCAGGTGCAGCGGGAGGCTCTGTTCATGAAGAGCGAACGGCACGCGGCTGAGGCCCAGCTGGCCACGGCCGAGCAGCAGCTACGGGGGCTGCGTACCGAGGCAGAAAGGGCACGCGAGGCCCAGAGCCGTGCCCAGGAAGCCCTGGACAAAGCCAAGGAGAAGGACAAGAAGGTGAGTGCCCCCGGCCCACGCTGTGTCCAGGGGTCCCCACTTGGCACAGCTGGGGAAGAATCTAAGGCTGTCTTGTGCCAGAGGGACCCTGACACACAGGGGAGGCCGCACCAGGACTTGCGCTGTTCCAGTTGGAACCACAGTGATACGTACTAAATGCTTACTGAGTCCCAGGCCCCAGGCTGTGCATTTAACACAGTCATCCATTTAATCCTCATGTCAAGTTCCCACAGACAGGTGCTTCGGGTTTGGTTTTGTTTTTTCAGACAGGGCCTCACTATGTAGTTCAGGTTGGCCTTGAGCTGGCCCTGTACTCCCGGGGGTGGTGATGCCATCTCAGCCTCCCCAGTGCGGAGATTACAGGCACCTTGCCACCACACCCAGCTGATAGGTGCTTTAATTATTCCTACTTGAAGAAATTTGGGCACAGAGAGGTGAATCCACTTGCCCAAGGTCACACAGCCATGCAATGGTTCAGCCAGGGTTTAAGTTCTGTTCTTTTCCCTTTGGTGCTGGGCTCCATCCCCAGAGCTGCTAAACAAACAAACAAACAAACAAATAAGTGAACTGCAAGTGTGAGACATGTTCTTAGCTCACCCACACTACAAAAACTGGTGAGGGTCAAACTAGGCCTAGGGTGGGCGCTGGAGTCTGTGAGCCCCTGGAATCTGGACCCCTTGCCACTTCCTGCTGTCCCCCCAGGCTCCCAGCCCCCAGCCTGGGCTCAGGGTGACACCCTTACATCCCTATCTCCAGATCACAGAACTCTCCAAAGAAGTCTTCAGCCTGAAGGAGGCCTTAAAAGACCAGCCCGCCGCCCTGGCCAGCCCCGAGGTGGACGCCCTCCGCAGCCAGGTGAAGGCTTTGCAGCAGCAGATGGCGGTGAGGCCTGCAGGGAAACGGGGGACAACACACGAAGGGCCGGAGGTCCAGCCACCCGCGCAGCTGGCGGGAGGGGGCGGGGCTGGAGGGGTGTTAGAGCATGCGCGGGGCGGCGGGGCGGATTCGCAGCCCCGTGATGCCCCACCTCCTGCAACGAGGCTCTGGGTTCCCCTTGGTGGGCGGGGAGGGGTGGGGTCCTGCTCCGCTGAGCACCCCTCCCCCTCCCCATGCCACAGGATGCTGCCCGGGACCACTGTGCCGTGGTGGCTTTGTACAGGAGCCACCTGCTCTATGCCATCCAGGTGAGTGGTGCGGACTCTCAGCTGCAAATCTACAGATCTTCGTGCCCGCTGCTGCTGCTGCCCTTGCGGCCTCAGTCTCCCCTCTAGACAGCGGGAGGCTGGCCCAGTCAGCGACACTCAAGGCCTGGCCCTCCTGGCTTCTTCCACCTTACATTAGGAGGGAGGGTGCTCAGAGGGGACTGGAAAGCCAGGACAGGTGCAGCAGGGTCGCTTTCTCCCTCTGCTCCCGGCCCCAGGGTCAGATGGATGAGGATGTGCAGCGGATTCTCGCCCAGATCTTGCAGATGCAGCGGCTGCAGGCTCAGGGCCGCTGAGGACCAGTTTCTCCCAGCCCCACGGGGCCACCGTGCCTGTGGGCGTTTAGGGACCAGCCTGAGTCCCTCCCTAGCTGGCAGCATCACCCCTTGTGGTCCCTACATACACTCTGGTCAGGCTGGCATTCCCTCCCTCCCCACTGGACAATCTGTGAGTCACTAGCTCCTGCCCATGTCTCATCCTCAACACCAACACAGGAATAAAACCGTACTGTGGGCCAGGTGTGGTGGCACATGCCTGTAATCCCTGCACTCAGGAGGCTGAGGCATGAGGATCACTGCAAGTTCAAGGAAGGCCAGCCTGGGATGCAAAGTGAGTTCACAGCCAGCCTGAACTGCATAGTGAGACCTTGTCTCAAAAAGAAAATAATAATAATAATAAACCGGGGCTGGGGATTTAGCTCAGCGGCAAAAGCGCCTGCCTGACAAGCGCAAGGTCGTGAGTTCGGTTCCCGGTACCGGAGAAAAACCAAAAAAATTTTTA